AAAAAAAAAAAAAGAAAAAAAGAAAAAAAAAAAAAAGAAAAGAAAGGTCGACAGACCTGTCAAGGGGATGATGCTCATATGGAAACAACCGTTTTCCACTGCTGATCATGTGGACGGAGGGATATCAACACTGCAGCAGAGCATGCAAAATCGTTGCCGACCTGTTTAAAATATTATCCAAAAAAAAAACAAAAAACAAAGATTGGGAACACAGCACATATACACATGTCACATGCGGGTTAGTAAAGTAGCACCCTCTTTTTTTTTTCTTTTTTTTTTTTTTAACCCTCTCTTCTCTCTCTTTTTTTTTTTTTTTTTTATACCAAAGAAAATCATTTATTATAAAACCGGGAAACGGGCCCGGCGTCCCTCACATGAATTCCGTAGCCAATCCAGGCTGGGAGAGGCACTTCCGGCCAGTCCCATCCCCAACCACGGACCTCCCACTGTGAAGACACCTGTCTTCAGCCCATCCGGTGCAGAACTGTAGTTGCAAAGCCTCATCTATGTTAATAGTTCGAATTTAATCCAATCCCAATGTATCGATTAATTCTATATTATCAAAAACAATCACGCAAATTTCTAACCTATTCCCTGATACAATTACCGTAATAATCCCTAACCCTAAATTATTTACAAAACAGAAACTGTAATCATGACTAATACTCAACACAAAATGAATTCCTAGTTAAGGGCTAATTAACCAAAACCTTCAAAAAAGTCAAGAAGTGTAAATCACCTAAATATTAAAGACAATCTCGAGCAAAGCAAATTTCCAATAAGCCAGATGTCCCACTTTCTCCGATCCAACAGCCAAAGGGAATTTCAGTCAAAAGACGACAGAGGGAGGCAAGCCTACTGTGGGCTGCAGCAGAAGTAGATTGTCCAAAATGACCTCCATGGATGATCTTTGCTGCATTCTTGGTGATCTGAGTTACTCACACTCATGCTGTTCACTCACAACTAGTAGGTAGTGCACCGCAACTTCCACATACTTGATGGGGGCCAACATCAAGCCTGTCATTCTGGATAATCTCCAGGATTCCAATAATTTGCTCTCTGTGGCATACAGTCATCTGCAATCAAGTCAATGGCTGACGAAATTATCATAATCGAGCACAACCTGCCGTCTATCACCTGTACATAGCACAACGCATAGCATCACGCAAATTCCTGACCTATTCCCTGAGATACAACTACCGTAATCATCCGTAACCCTAAGTTATCTACAAAACAGAAACCGTAATCATAACTAATACTCAACACAAAATGAATTAACAAAAACCTGAAAAACGTCAAGAAGTGTAAATCACCTCAAAAAAAAATTAAACCTAATTTCGAGCAAAGCAGATTTCCAATAAGCCAGATGTCCCACTTTCTCCGATCCAACAGCCAAAGGGAATTTCAGTCAAAAGACGACAAAGGGAGGCAAGCCTACTGTGGGCTGCAGCAGAAGAAGAGTGTCCAGAACGACATGCTTGATGGGGGGCAACATCAAGCCTGCCATTCTGGATGATCTCCAGGATATCATCTGATTATAAATGGCAGGTCCATCCCTAACCTAAAACAAAAAAACGTCAAAAAGTGTAAATCACTTTAAAAAATATATATATATATACCCAATTTCTCTGATGGCACAACTGTGTGCACGTGGCGGATTATGGAGTGGCAGTCGTCGCAGATCAATCATGAGGTGGAGAGCAAGAGATTTTACCTGGTGGCACGACAGTACTCCTCACCTTCGTGCAGTAACAGAAAACATGTGGCACTGGCAGCCTATAGAGTATTAAGGTCTCGTTAGACACTCCTAAAAGAATCCTAAAATTTTTAGGACGAGTCCTAAAGGATTTTTAGGATTTCGTGCGGCGTCGTTACATGCAATCCTAAAAATAATCTTTTAGGATTCGTCCTAAAAGGTCTCCCGCGGCCTGTTTTCATATACGTATACGCAGCCGCGTCGCGAATGTCCATCCATTCCTGCCAATGTCCGTCCAATCCACGCCAACGGCTACCGTTTGTGGCCGTTGCCCGCGTCGACCCGCAGAAAACCTCTCCGATGTCCGACCACTGACCCGACGGACCGCTTCTGCACCAGCAACTCCGTGTCGACGGTGCCATGCTCGCGATGCAACGAGTCCGTGAAATGTGGGAATCCTAAATTTTTCAGTAGGTCGGGGGTTACTGGAAAATTTTGGACGATTTTGCCTGGGGAATCCTACATCCTTTAGGACTCGTCCTAACGCCGTTTTCACATTTTCTATCTCAAAATTGGATTTAGGATTGCGTGCAACCAAGACGCAGTCCTAAAAACAGGCACTTTTAAGAGTGTCTAACGAGACCCTTACATATGGAAAGTCGATCCCGAAGAGCAGATCGCAAGCCAACCACGAAGAACAGATGATTGCACCCAATGGCACGACAATATTCCTGCTACTCTCGTCCATCATCGACCGTAGGAAAAGGCACTAGCAAATCCAACACTTCAACCAATCAGCGCCACACAGGCACGGCAAACACCAGTTTATGCTCGTAGGTAATAGCTGCATCCTCATACTCAAAGGAGACGCACACTCCAACGAAAGCACGGCAGCATGATAAACGCCATGTCTGACCCTTGATAACTCCCAGATCCTCTGCAATTGCCCACTTCAAAGTCTCCAGGCACAAGAAACTATCTGAAATAGTGTTTCTGTTTTATCCCAGAGCTAGATAAGGTGTAGAGAAGGGTAAGAGAAAATGACAAGTGTTGTGGGGGTGGAGAGTGATAAGCAAGGAAAATGAGAGGGATTGACGGACTTACTTGTAACAGTCTTTTTGTCCACTGCCTCCTCTATCTGATCCCCCCCCCCATTATCTTCAGTAAGTGGTAATGAGCTTTGACTAATTTAGCAGTCTCGCGGATTGGAGACTCTGTTGTCAATATAGAGGCTCCCTGTGTGTGTTTGACAATTTCTGAGTATACTCCAGGCTGGGCTGTGTGATCGAAACACGCCCAGGCTTGAGTCTGTTCTGCTGGGCTGGGTGACCAAAACACACCCAGACTTGAGTCTGTTTTGCTGGGCTGTGTGACCATGAGCCTGTCGAGTTGGACTGGGATACCATTTTTCTGGGCTGGGATTCTTCATGTGACACTTCAGGTATGCACGCTGTTGCCTTTCACAGTCTACTCGGGCATTGTTAGATAGTACCTCAGCTCGGTCAAGGGCTTGTAGGACATTGCCACGGTATGGATTATTACCTTGATGGCTGCATATATAGAAGTGTCACCACAGTAAGGATGGGAGCCATGGCGGTTATTAGTAGTTAGAATTGCTGATGTCAAGCCTGATTGTTTTCACAGTCAGCTGCAGATGTTTAAGGGGTTGTTGCCGTGAGAGTGCAGCAGTGCTACTGAAGGTAGTGGACACTGACCCCCCCCCACAGTTGTTTCCTGGGCCCTTGCTCTCACTTGGAAGGCAGTTAGGTTCTTAGCAGCGAGACGTTATTGCCTTTTCTTGACTACCGTTGCTTCTGATTCTCCTAACAAGCTCCCCGATTGAGTCCCCACCCGCGGTCAAAGCGTTCCGGCAGGTTGTTATTGCAGACTACTGTTGCTTTCCCCGGGGGCTAGTGCACTACCTAGGAGCTCGCTGGCAGTCAGTGGTAGATCGACTCAGAGGCTGCTGTACCCCTGACTGGAGAAGGGACTGCTGGTGTGACCAGTCATGACTGTTGCTGTGAATTTTGTGTTGTGCTTGCGGTGTAGTATGGTGGTATAGAACTTATGACTCCGTGTGCTAGTGCAAGATCGAGGTGTTGCACGTGATCGCTGGGGATTGGAATTGCAGCAGCACTCATGGGTTGCAGGGTGCCAGGATGTGATGGTTGAGCATGTGTCAGGTGGGTCGCTGCGTTGACTACACCTTGTCGTAGTCTGGCATTGTTAGTCGTTGTGCGGACTGCGTCCAATAGAACTCGACGAGCAGTTACTGGGTCTTAAATTGAACGCGGGGGGGTGTTCTATTTGAATGGTCGCTTCTAGCTGCGCAATTGTGTTATGGCCGATGGTTGGAATGCGGCGGTGGGAGTATGAACAGGCTTGCGAACGGGGTGCTGCGGCGGCTTGTCAGGCTGCTACTATTGCTGCTGTGGTCAAGTGAAGTGGTGCCACGGCAGGCGGGCGACTGCTATTAAGACAGGCTGCTGATACATATGGTCTGGGCACTGTAACTGTGTTTCAGCACTGCTGCCGTGCGGGGCGCGGTGCGCTGCTATTAGACAGACGTTGCTCCTCGCTGAGAGAAGCAACGACGTGAGCTTAAGAGAGGGGGTACAGAAGGAGAAGGGAATGTGGAGATCATGAGAGTGGGGACAGACCTTGCCAGGGGGGGGTTGAGGCTGCAGTTGTAAACTGTATTCTGGCGGAACTCTGATAAGTCGCTGCTACAGCGGATACCCGGGCTGTTTGAGGGGGTGCACAACAAAGTGTTGCTGTTGCGCAGGGCGTTGCTCCCCGCTGTGCACCTTGCGGAGCACTAACTACGTATGGCTATGGGTTCAAAGGAGTAAGCAGGCCACACACGCAGGGACCATTGCAGTGACTTAGAGGGCAGTCAGGGGACTGGCGTTCTGTGCCTCTGATCAAGACTTGGCTACTACCGCTGCGTCTCGCTGGCCATCATTGCGGGGCCCTCTGGCGCTGAAGACTTCACGGCCCTCTCACATGAGTCTGAGCGCACCCCTCTTGTATTTGAGAGACTTGAGGCTTCTTCTTCTGCCCTTCTCAATCTCAGTCTAGTCTGTTGGTTTGGAGAGGAAGGCGGCAGGCGGGATTGCAACCCGTAATCCGCGCCAAGGCCTTTGTGGGAGGTTGCCCCACCGATTGCGGGAGCCCTGCTGGAACTCAGGAGGAGTTTTGGAGGCAGGGAACTCAGAGGTAACCTTTACTTCCCCTTGTAAACCCAATATAACCCCTACCTACATTCCTCCCTATGTAATGTTTGGCTATTCTGAGTGCAACCTCTACTTTGACTTTTGGATTGACTTTCACGACACAAATCAGACCAACTAAAGGAATGTTTGTATAATTATGGCAGTTTCAGTTTCTTTGATTGCCTGAAAACAGATTGTCACAAGGGGTTGCATCAGGGGGACGGTTGGGAGGAAGGCGGTTTTGCTTGTG